GAGACCCCAGGATTACAAGGCCAGAGTTCTAACCGCTAGACCACCGATACGCAAAACTATTTCAGGTTTTTTACACAGACGCGCACAAAGAGTGTTTGACAATAACGCACGGAGAAGAGCATGTGGAGATAAGAAATACGGATCTCGTGGGTAGCTCCAGGCCCGCGGGCAGTTTTACCCACTACCGTCTAAGATGATGTCGCAAGACAGAGGTAAACATGCGTCTTGAAAATAATCATTGGCAAGCATTGAGAGACGAGTTGCCGTGCTACCTTGCTCTGGAGTGCTTTTATATGTAGCAAACCCCTTTCAGCATCCCGCTCTGCTCTGGAGACGTCAACTTTGATAAGTGATAGGGCGATTTGCTACGTCACTTCACTAACTTCAGTATCAGTCTTGCAACGAAATTCTGAAAGCGATGAATGCGCGTATTCACAGCGGCAGGTGAGTACAAAGGAGAAGGAAAGTTGAGATCCGAGGTTCTGACACAGATTGTCCATGGCAGTCGTCTGGGCTGACACACCGTATGGACTTCCAGGAGTAAATCAACGTTTCGGGGGAATATATTTCCTCCATCTTCGGGGCGCATAGGTCCTGAAGACAGAGGTAGTAGGTGCCTCCGAAACGCTTGTGCCCACGGCGTCACAGCCCGGACGACAACAACGGACAAACAACTTGATTCTGTGGCAACTTTCGATGCGGTTCGGTAAATTTAAAAATATGATAGTCTTCATGGTGTCCTGTAATATAAAAATGTCGTCGATCGCTAGTTACAGCTCTTTACGATTATTATCGGGGTTTCTTAAGTGGGGTGCTGACCGCCGAGGAGCTCCACTGACAGCCACTTACATTTACTGGCGTCAGAATTACCCATATCTAAAAGTACGTCCTCTGGAGAGAAACACTTTAGTCGAAAATGACATAACCGGGTGCATATTACCTGCTTTATTATGGAGAGTTATTTATGCAATTATTTATCTCTCTTTCTGTCTCTGTCTAAATTATTAACTTCTTTATTTCGTCTCATTTTCATTTTACTTTCCTCCTTATATCTCTTTCCAGTCGCTTCATAACCTCGGAAGTTGATTCAGGGGCCTAAAACAACCGAATGGAAAACCACTAACAAGAAAAGTGATCTTCAGTCTCCGTAGCTTCTCCAGGAAAAAAAGAGCTTCTTTAATCAGCATCGCCATGAGCACGCCATCTGCCATAATGAGTAGCTGACTGAGAACACGGCGCATCTAATTCTGGTTCTCCCTCCAGGTGTGCTGCCGCAGACACAGAGATAAACACTTCTAATTCAAAAGGTAAACATCTGTGTTCAGTACGAAATATGAGAACTTTCACCTCTGAGCCAAGGACGGGGAACATTTCCGCTCTTTGCATACGAACAGAGCTGAGGCTGTCGAATCCAGATTTTTAGGATTTCACGACTGCGATTACGGAAATTAAAAGTCTTCTGAGGGATATTGCGCCGTGTAGTGTCGTAGAAATTGATTGACGTTTCATAGATGCCTACTGTCTCCATCGTCAGGGCGATAAGTCACGGACTAATATCTCATAACACAGTCATCTTCATAGTCCCTGCAGAAATATACGCAAACGTACCGATAATTAAGTAACAGGAGATTATATCAGACCGATACGAACAAAATTAGATTAATTTGAAAGATAAATTTCATCTAAATCAGTTCACTAATTTATGCAGATGAAACATGCGATCACAGGATCTGATACCTCATTATCGTGCGTTAATTATATGCACGTCGGTTTTCTAATATGTGTACAATGGTATCTTGATCTTCATATGTTCGAAATATGGCGTATTCCAGCGGCGTCGGTTTTTCAAATAAAGTTTAATATGACATCCCGAGGTCTACTTGTACAGGACACGGTACCTTGCAAGAATGCCGCGACGCTCGGCGTCGATTTTCTGTGTGTTCAAAAGCAATATAATAAAGCCATTAGAGATCTTCGAACTGTGGGCGGCATAAACCGATATTTGGCTGAGACAGTCTTCTGAAAAACAGAACCTAATAAACGATTGATTGAGCTGGTTCACGCATAAAACAACAAAAAAACCTGTTTCCAGTATAAAACAAACTACGAGCGGCGGACAGAGGGAGAAGGCATCCTGTTATAAGTCGTCGTTTAATGGTTTCGCGAACAAGACGAGCGTGCGCAGGTCTGACAACTTTCCGGAACCAGAAAAATGGACACTGCCCCATCTCCACAAACATACAAGTGCCAATTTTTTCAATTCGAGTACAGGATTTAAAAGAATTGTCCCGCAATCCTCGATACAGGCCATGCAATTGCACATGGGGGAAAACAAAACACAATCACAGTTCATAAGGTAGTATATTTGCGTCACATTGTGAATAAGGTTAATATTTTAATATTTCCCGTCAAATCACAATTTTAATAAGATAATAAAATATAAAATATTTAAAATATCATTTCAAGTTCCGCATCGAATGATCGATTTACTAATTGTAATACTTCTAGATGTCTTCCGCTAGACACGTCATGTCTCTATCAACTCATCACCGACTACGAGGCTCGTCCACAAAGTAAGTTTCCCTGGGGCCGTTTACAGAAACAAAACACAATTTCATGGAAATATTTATTGCAACAGATACAGCAAGTGTCCAGCTATTTTTCAACATATTCGCCACCGGAATTGAGACATT